ATATATAAATATAATCAGCCTGACAGTGGCACTGAGCTGCCATATATATGCATAAGACAGGGGTCCAGGGTCATCTGTACTGGGATCGCACTCACACAGCCCCTCATCAGCTCCCGATCATTGTTTATAATTGGGAGAAGGTCCAGCATGCTCCTGATCACCATGACAGCCAATAGAGTGATCACATGACCAAAACAACATATGCAATGCCTCCAGCATCAGCTGTAAAGGGTTAATATACCATACCCGAATATCCATAATCTGCTGTAACCTAGGAAACGGGGCCTGTTGTTCTGCTTTGTACACCATGCAGAGTGACCGGTGTAGGAACCTAGGGGACTCCCTGAATTTAGGGTGAAATAGCACTACGCCCACTATATGCTAATGGTAAGACCAGAACCCCCCTAGTAAACAAGAGCTGTAGGCCCACCTACCTGATCATAAGTGATCCTGAGCCCGGTGACCAGCTTGGCATGGTTCTGGTGCGGCCTCTGAGCCAAGTCAAATGCTTCTTTAATCTGAAGTCCTTTCTTCTCCACTGTCATTGTCGCGGCGGGTTATATCCTGTGTCCCCCTGTATATGGATAACGCTTAATTCCTGATCCGGGCGTGCCTGTCACCCGCTATTCATACACACAGCACTGCCAGACAATTATACGCGCTCCCGCCCGCTTTCAAAAATCTGCTTCTGCGCGGAACAGAGAACGGGACACGCATCACGTGACTGAAGAACGCCGCTCACGCTGGCAAATAATGCGTGCGCGCCCTGGAGAGGGACGCTATACGCGTGCGCGCTCAGGAAAAAAAAGTGCATTATGCGCCTGCGCTGTTTAGAATCTTGTTTTCCTGCATAGTGAAGAGCGATATGGACGTGTCTGTCCTCATTAAAGTCACATTCACTATGAGGATACGTAGAGAGATTCAAAACACTTATGTTGGATAAAGCTTGAGACATTAGATGGTTAACCCTTTGAGTGCGTTTGCTCTGATATCAATTTGCTATTTGTGTTTGTTCTCTAAGGGGGTCTGTTTATAAACAAATCGGCATAACCATTCATCCTGCAAAACTCTGTGAACGTTGGCTCTGTGTGAATTGAAGCAAAGACTAACTATATTTTCGATTGCAAAGTTTTTCTTAAGTTTTCAAACTAAAATATAGACATGGTGGAGATGACATAAAACAATCGGTGTACAAAATATTCAGGAGAGAGACGGCACAATATGGGACATAGTCCATAAATCGTGTAGAATAACATAACGAACATAGGTACCCAGGAATGATAATAGCAAAAGTAAGGGCACAAGAGTACCGCAAAGGTAAATGATGCTTGTGTGTAAGGTGTATACAACAGTTACATTATGCCTGTGTCAGCATGGCATAACATCAAAATAAAAGTGTAAACTTCCAAGAAAGTAAATAGAGAAAGAAAGGGCTAAGCCCAGAAAAGATGGACCTCGCACCCTCAACGTTACTTCCCCTAAACCGTGAGAAGGGTGGGATCCCATAACAACACTTGCAGAGCTTTTTATTATATAATCAGCTGCATAATTCCCTCCGAGCTTTCTCAAATGCCACAGAAGCTAGACAAGTTCATATCAGGATGCTGGCATCTTATCCACCCATGGTTCCCAGACATTGAGGATGCTTATCAAGCAGAACACTTGTTAAACGTTCATTTAACATAACATTATCCATCCTTGTAACAAACTCCCTATAGTGTATCAGTTGTGTCTTCCAGCTACCAGCTATTGTTAGTTTTGTCATGAGAAAAGTAAAATGGGAAAGAGCTCGCTGATGTTTGTTCAATCCTGGTACACTGTAGTGAAAGAGAGCATATTTAAAGGAGAACTATGGGGTCAGTGTTTTTCCCCATAGTTCTCCTAAAGGTCACGGGAGGACACAAGCTAGCGCCCTCCAGTGACCCAAAGCTCAGTATAGATATACATTACTGTTGAGATCCACCCAGCTGCGTGACTGACAGCTGGCTCTGCCTATCTAGAGGTAGAGCCAGCTGTACCCGCCCCCTCCCCTGTCTGTTCCGCCAGCCAGCGCTGGAGGATCGGGGAGGGGGGAATCCCTGCAGGGAGCCGTGAGTGACAGTCACGTCTCTCTGCAGGGACATGATCGAGAAGTGAGCGAGTGACGGTATGTGTTCGCTCACTTCCCGATGTATTGAGCCAACGTGTGACAGTTTCATTGTCACACGTCGGCTCGAACTATGAGGTTGAGTGAAAATCACCCACCTCATAGTTCTCCTTTAATACCCCGTGTGATAAGTACAATACACATCAAGAGAAACAATTGAAAGATTTTTGTCCCTTCATACACGGCGTGGCTACCGCGGCACGCAAGATGGCCGCTTAACTCCGGAGCTCCTTACCACCCGCACCCAAAATACACCGCGACCGAAGGTCACACGGGGAGACCCCTTTTCCCTCCTGAAGGAAAATTACCCTCCGAATCACATTAACCCTACGCCCGAGTCCCAGACACTAGTAGGTAGGTCCCGCTACTACAAAGCAACACACCTTACCAGAGTTCTCCACTGACACCTGCACACAGATACCAAACTATGGGCCTCCCTAGAAAACATGACCACAAAAGGACACTTCCACCAGATATGGATCATATCACCAGGGATAATACACCCTCGGAAGTAAGATCCAGAACGGGTCCCTGGCATGGGTGCAATATGTGAAGGCACCATGTAACATCTCATTATTACTTTATAGGCTACTTCTGCATTCATAACATTTAGAGAACAACTCATAATACTATGCCACATGTGTTACCATTCTTCCCCCGACCAGGAATGTCCCAAGTCATGTTCCCATTTACTAACATAGGAATGGGAGGTAGGGCTCCAAAGCCTATTTAGTTGACTGAAGAGTTTGGAGAAGGCAGGAGAAGTGAACAATCTAGGACAACATAGCTGAACTGGAAAGTGAGCTGAATTGGATATTTTTCCAAATCGGCTATGTTGTCCTAGATTGTTCACTTCTCCTGCCTTCTCCAAACTCTTCACCCTTTTGTGAATAGACCCTTAGCCCTCGTTCACACCTGAACGTTTTGTAGCGCGTTCTACGCTCGACGAACGCTCTACAAAACGCTCAAAAATATAAATCCCATTGTATTCAATGGTCTCGTTCCCACCTTGGTGTATTTCCGCCCGTCCCTAACGCGCTACAAAACGGCCCACGCCTGAAAAGGTACAGGTACTACTTTGGGCCGTTTTGTTGTGCGTTTCCATTGGGATACAGCCAAGTAGCCTTCGGAAACGCGCGATGGTCGCGCAACTTTTTTACCGTGAATCGTGACAGACGCGCATATGCAATACGCCTAGGTGTGAACGAGACCTTTAAGTATATTTTCAAGTCCAATGTCATATCTGACAAAATACTCCATTGTGGCCACTAGATGGAGCTGAGAAGCATAGGAAATAAGTATTCATTTATTATGCACCTCAGCTTCATCTAGTGGCCATAATGTATTTACCTAATTTTACATTCAACGCGAAAAGAGAACATTTGTGTTTGCCTCCATCAGCACACAATGAATCCTCACAGAGATGTACAGGAGGAATGGCTCTGCAAATTGTTTATAAATACACCTCTAAGGTCTCGTTCACACCTAGGCGTATTGCATATTTTTTTACCGCGATTTGCGGTACAAAAGTCGCGTGACCGTCGGAGCAATTTCTTACTTTTCGCGCACTGAAAGACCCCTGATGTCTCCACAAAGAGGACCTGTCACACCCTATCTGCTATTACATAGGGGGCTTGTTGGCCCCCTATGTGATAGCAATAAGGTTAGTGTAAAAAAAAACAACAATTTAAAAATTAAACAATTAAAGTAACATATAGGAAAAATTAAAAAAATGCAAAAATGTTTTTTTTAAAGTCCCCTGCCCTCCACGTGCACGCACATACACGCAAACACGCACGTGCTCCTACGTGCAAAATCCACAATTGCGCTACACATGTTACATATCGCCGTGAAAGATGGAGTGTGATCAATAATCCTAGAGCCATTAATCACTGTTAGCACTAAACTGATGAGCGGTAAACGCATTTAAAATGTACCCTATGAGAAAGTTTGGGTATTTAAGTTTTTTGTGGCTTCATGGGCGAACGCAATCTTAAGGCTTGGCATGTTTGGTATCTTTTTACCCGACATTACCCCATCTTTTATATTTTACCAATAAATTGGGTATTATATTATGTTTCTGTGCACTAAATTTTCATTTTGTTTATTTTATCCTAAAAATACTAATTTGATAAACATTTGCGCAAATACCATGCGACATAAAAAGTTGCAACTAGCATTTTTTTATTCTACAGGGCCTCTGCTTTCAGAACATATGTCATTGTTTTGGGGTTTGAAGCTGTTTTCTAGCCAAAAATGTATATTGTATCATGTGTACGCACATAGTAAGAAAATGCTCTGGACAGCAAGTGGTTAAAATTTCCCATAGGGAACACTTTAAACGCTTTTACCACTCATCAGTTTAGTGTTAACAGTCCTGGAATTACTGCTCTCACTCCGACGTTCGGCACGATATGTAACATGTGTAGCGCAATTGTCGTTTTCTCACGTAGGTGCACTGATGCGAGGCTACTTTCTGGTTTGCTGGATGTGTTTTGCTAAATAACCTAGATTTGAGTTATTTTGCTTCCTATGTCAGTGAGCACTTCCTGTTTCCTGCAACAGTTTTTGTTTGGCTGTTTGAAAGATGGCTACACATGCCTCTGGTGCCTCTGGCCTTTCTGGGATCAGGGCTGCAGGAGGCAGAGGTAGTAGGGGTAGTGTAATGAACTTTAAAACTGTCCAAGCTTCTATCCAAATCAACATGTAACATTGATATTAGCAGAGAGCATTTTTATCTTGTTTTTTTTTTTTTTGGCTGGAATTCTGCTTTAATATTATAATTTATTCATTTATTTTTCCTTCAGTACCTCTTGCATCTGCTTAAAGAATCTAAAAAGAATGAGTATTCAGCAGAAGGCAGCTGGTGAGACCCCCGGAGAAGAGGATAAGGAAAAGATGTCAGTCTGTCACCGTACTTGCTTGGCAAAACACTGCAGTACCTTAATGCTAAGAATATGTACAGCAAACTCATAACACCTATAAGAGGACAGATATGATATTAGCTTGAAGTGTGCATTGGGGGTTAGTTGGTAGTAGTTTTTGCAAAACTTACCAGTATATTAACATCCCCTTCCATATAATCAGTTATCTGTTGTGACCTGCTTCACAGTTGTCCTAAAACCGGAAATTGCCTTATGCAATGCATATCACATATGCAGCTATTTAAATAACCAGAAAGCTTGCAGCCCTTGAAACTGCGCTGTGTGTCCCTGGATAATTTTAAAGTACGGATAATAGTTAACTGGGCATGTACTTTGAATACTTTGACTGTATTGTTGTTTTTTGCTAGGCCCGACCTTCACACTCTACATCAAGCCTGTGGTGCCCATCGCAAAAGAACAGGCTCCTTTGAAAGTAGAGCTGATGCTCCTCTCTTGGTCCTGCTCAGCCACCCAGCCCCCTGTCTCCTCACTTGCACTCTCCAAAGCCCCTTGATCCCTAAATACTACCCCCTGAAGCCCTGTCAGCAGCCA